GTTCTCTCATGTTAAATAATACCTTTCAAATACAGTTTGATTATGATCAAAATCAACAAATATCAGTATATCATGTTTTATGGAGGCCATATGGTTCATTCTCTGGTAAGTATGTAGGAAACAAACTTCCTATGTGATATCTATCTTATAAGTATTCATTTTGTTAAAAATATAATTCCTTATATCCAGTGTAATAGGTGTTGCATATTTCAAAACATTGTCCAGTTGTATTGTTATCATGCTATCAGTAATTACATCAAGAAACAATTACTAGGCATCTTTTGATCCCATATGTATACATATATTTATTCTATGCGTTTTGATATGCTTTAGTGATCATCAGCTGACATTTTTAAGTTGTGACTTTGAAGGCTATGGAGGACATATGGTTCATTATCTGGTAAATAATACTTTTATGCTAAATAATACCCTTTCAATATAGTTTGGTACTCTCATGTTAAATAATACCTTTCAAATACAGTTTGATTATGATCAAAATCAACAAATATCAGTATATCATGTTTTATGGAGGCCATATGGTTCATTCTCTGGTAAGTATGTAGGAAACAAACTTCCTATGTGATATCTATCTTCTAAGTATTCATTTTGTTAAAAATATAATTCCTTATATCCAGTGTAATAGGTGTTGCATATTTCAAAAACATTGTCCAGTTGTATTGTTATCATGCTATCAGTAATTACATCAAGAAACAATTACTAGGCATCTTTTGATCCCATATGTATACATATATTTATTCTATGCGTTTTGATATGCTTTAGTGATCATCAGCTGACATTTTTAAGTTGTGACTTTGAAGGCTATGGAGGACATATGGTTCATTATCTGGTAAATAATACTTTTATGCTAAATAATACCCTTTCAATATAGTTTGGTACTCTCATGTTAAATAATACCTTTCAAATACAGTTTGATTATGATCAAAATCAACAAATATCAGTATATCATGTTTTATGGAGGCCATATGGTTCATTCTCTGGTAAGTATGTAGGAAACAAACTTCCTATGTGATATCTATCTTCTAAGTATTCATTTTGTTAAAAATATAATTCCTTATATCCAGTGTAATAGGTGTTGCATATTTCAAAAACATTGTCCAGTTGTATTGTTATCATGCTATCAGTAATTACATCAAGAAACAATTGGAGCTATTTCTATTGTCCTTTTTCTTACTAAATTCTAAAGCATGTTAGCTTCCATACTAGCTTTAACTCTAAAGATTGATGCTTACTTGGGAGGTGTATATAACCTTGCATTCACTTCACCATATGATCAAATTCTTGTAATAACATATGGAGAGAACAAACTCATTCAGGTCTAAACAATAAAAAAATTAAATTCTAGTAGTTTTACTCATTAGAGAAAATAGACTAATTATCTCTATATTATATGTTAGGTATGGGGTACAGTGACTGGTACAAGCAATACACATTTGAAGGTCATAGAGGCCCTTTAAACTCGTTATGTGCACATCTCAAGGAAGATATCCTTGTGTAGTTTCTATACTTGTTACCATTAAAGACTTTCTTTTTATTTTTGGTACTTCATTCGGTTTACTTCTTCTTCTTCTTTTCTTCTTGTTTTATTTTTTTGATTAATGCTTGCAGTTTGAATATGCCACATCGACAAATAGAGAGACAAAAACATGGTTATTTGATTATATAGAACCAAGGTTGTCTTTGATGCAATAGTTATTTTCGCATAAGAATGGCCTATGGTGATGATGGTAAAAGACAAGTGCTTAATTATAGAACTGTACTTGGTCATTCTTTTTTTTTTTTTTTATTCCCTGTTCACTAAGTGAGCATTAAAAACTTGTTAGGCTCTTTTCTTGTGGCACAAACAAAGATGGAGACTCATACTTAGTTGAATGGAACTATACCCAAGGCTATATAACCTGAAGTTATGATTGGCTCTCCAAATCTTCTACAGGCATAGTGCAATTCAATACAAGTAGAAACAACTTTTTGGTCATTGGGGATGAATATTTACTCAAGTTTTGGAACGTAGGCAATGTCAAGATTTTAACTCTCTCTTGATGCTAATGGGGGCCTTTCAATTTGGGCTTTACACATTTTTAGAATAATTAGAAATTAAAATGCACGTGCGTCGCACGTAATTATTGATTGGAGAAATAAATCACTAAATTAGTTGTAAATTTTGATTGTTGTAATTGGATTTGAACAAATGATAGATGTGAATATCAGTAAAAGAAGGAAAATGTATTAATTTTGTGAAGAACTTAGCATATGGCTATCCCTCTACTCTTTATCTCGATTTCATAATCATGCAATATAAGATATGTTAAAACATGTTTTTTTTTTTCAGTTAGTAGCATGTTTCTCAGCTTTTGATCTAGCATGAAGCTTGCATTTTCTAACTTAAAATCAAACTTTAAATGAAGCATTATATTCTTGTATACATCCACACTTAAACTGTCAGGCAATGTTAACTATCAGGTAATGTATCTTAGAGTAAGCTAATTAGATAGGAGAATAGTGTTTCCATTAAGGGAAAAATAGGTACATAAAAAAGTAAGAAACACTTAATGCACTTTTATGTATAGTATAGATATGCTTTTACTTGCATATAAGGATTATACATTTATAGTCTACGACTATAAAAATGGTGTTTCATTTACTTGTTGGCTTCTTTCTCTATTTTAATGCAAAGCCTTATGTTTGCTTCAACAAGGAAGACACTCTTTTGGTTGTTTTTCTGATGATAGTAAGGTCAAAATCTTGGCAAATAATGTAATTGGCAGTCTGTTGCTACAAAATTCAACTCCTCATCCATGTGACAGAATTGTGGGACATCTGTGCTGAAGTAAAACATTCTTGGAATGGATTTTTGATCTGAAATAGAGAGGTCATCTCCTCATCATTCCTATTAAATAATTGCATCAAAAAACAATTGGAAGTGGTTAGGAAGCGGGTATAACAATTATGGCTAGATAGAAAAGTTAATCGATTCTATTTTCATTTGTACATTTATCTTTTCCCAATTGTATATGTGCATCACTATTTTCTTGTGTGTTGATTTTCTGTTAGACTCTAATTATTTTTTCTAATTTGTCAAATGGAAAAAAACAAAATTGTTAGGCAATAAGAAATCATCTCCCTTGTGTATGGCATCCAAAAAGTGGAATAATTATAACCAACAACCTTAGTGATGATCCATTTCAAATAGCTTCACCATGCTTTGCTTTATCCAGGAATGACTCTTATCTCATATTAGCATCAGGAAGAAATAGTTTCTTTGTTCAACACAATAACCTTTGAGGTAAGTATGTGATTAACATCTTTAGGAGGTGATCGCAATTCTTAGGTCAAAAGGTATATTGAAATTTAATCAAACTGAATCATACTAACATAAGAACTCGTGGGAACTTATTTGTGAAAATTTCATCGCTTATTAACTAGTGCTAAAGGTAGAGAAAAAAGCAAAATGCATGCAGAAAATATAAACCAAAACACTTCAGTAATGTAAACAAATGCTTATTCTGACTTCCACAGATATCCTATCAATCTAATAGCTATTACTGAAGGGCAACTCAAAGTTTCCAAATTCTTGAACACTTGAAAAAACTAAATTGCTATGTCTATTACTAGATTACCATTTTACATGACCAGTTTGATTTGTCAACTGCAATTGCAGAAAGTGAGAAGCTTCCCATTGGCTCCACCTGCAGCTACATGTATGGCATTCTAGCCCCACAAGATAACAACCTAGTTGCTATTGGCACAGACGATTCAACTATACTCATCTACAACATGTGAGAGTCTGAGTTATAGCACTAATTTTGCACATGTAAAGCTTTTAATTATTTTCCATACATTTAACAGCTTGTAAATAAGCTTACTCTCATTTGAAAAGGATTAGTTGCTTAGCCTTTTCTAACGCGTCAAAAGTATTGGTCTCTACTACAGTAGATGCTCAAGTTAATTTGTTCTAAATCAAATATGTCACACTCACATGCTAATAGGAATTTGTGGTCTTGAGCAGCTAATGTTATCTAATTATCTATGGGCAAATCATTCCATGTATACACAATTTGATTTCTTCACTTAGTACTACTATCTAAAAATTGTTAAAAGAGTAATTCAACAAAACAAATATGTTCTCGTCCTAGACTTCTTGTAAGATTTATTAGGAATTTTCTTGTTTAATAGGAACTAAATGTAGGTTTTGTTGAGTATTTGGTCTAAGATTGATAATTGAACCAGTAATGAAGAGGTATAAAATGTCATATGTAAGGAAAAAAAAACTGACTACATCATAGTTTGCTTTGTCATACATAGGAAAGAGTCAAATTTCATCAGCACCAATTTGTAGTAATAACTATTGTTAGCAAAACACTAAACCAAGCCATTTCCATTGGTTAAGATAGGTTTCGTGATTTATTGTTTAGTTAATAGCATATGGTTGCAAGATTGGCTTACCCTTTCCTTCATTTGCTCCTTTTGCACCACCCATTTTCCTTTTATTTATTTATTTCTCGCATCTTGATTATGCATGTTGTTTGTGCAAATTATGAAAAATTTCCAAAAAACTGTTCCTGCTATGACCCCTCATGTATAAAATTCCTGAATCGTATGATTCCTCTTTGTTGAAAATCAATGTCTGGAATACAATTAGGCAGGAGAAAAAGAAAAGCATTTCAATTAAGATATTAATTTGGTGGTGGTTGTTGTTGCAAACATCAGAGACTGATATCCAATTTCACAAGGATCAAATGCACTTTCTTGCCACCACGTGACTCAACTTGCAATGTATGAATCAAAAAAGCCTGGAACCCATCAGCAGTGCAGTTTTTTTACCACTTCATCCTCCACAAACACTTGGAGAGGAGATATGTTGTATTTGACTTCTTTAGACGATCATTTCTCAAATACTTGTAGTGGACCATTAGAGACTTCTGTTTAAGGATTTCAAATGGAAACATTTTAATTCATGTCGCAACTAGGTGGTATTTGCTACCATGAGAAATGGAGTTGTTATGGTACTCAACGCTTTAGATCTGAGTCCAAGATTAGAGATTGATCCCTCTGCTTTATCTTCCACCGAACAATGGGTACGTAGAACTAGCTACAAGGTAAGATATGGACATACTAAAACATTCACCTTGACTACATTGTATTTCTCACATCACTTATGTCTGTAAGAGGTTGCTTTTCAATCTACTACACTTTTATACTCTAGACACGCACAAAACTAATTCGTCATACATCTACTTTCTGGCAAGTTTCGATAAAATCTTGGAAAGTTCTGTTTGTAAACGCTTTTAGTTTCCTATTCATGATATTTTCTTTAATCTTAAGAATGCCCATTACTTTTGTACATTCTTAATTATTTGAATTATCTTGAGATTACTAATTTGCTTTTCTAGACTTTTTAGTTATGGTCATTTATATCTTTCTGAATTATAGTCATATATAAGTTTGCTAAGATTTCAATTTGAGGTCATATGTAAATTTAACATGAATTAGTCAACTTTAGGAAATGCTAATAATTGATAGCTTCAATATCATAAGTATATAGTCAAATATTAAGTAATTTTATCTAATTAAAATAAATCAAATTCTATGAAAAAGAGATGGGTAGTTGGGAGCTTTTTAAGAGCTGGAGTCTGGAAAGTTGTTTTCAATATATATATATATATATATATATTTATTCATTTATTTTCCACAACCATGAGGATTAAACCCTTGGATAACTACCTCTTCATGTACAAATATTAATCCTGTGGTAAATTTTTGGGATAAGTGTAGGAGATTCCACTTATTTCAATTATTTCCCTTACATTTGGTAAACATATAGTTGTCCGATTGAGGCTATTTAGTGTTTGAGATTTGTTTCCAGTGGGATAGTGTACTAGCTCCTCAATTTGTAATGATATACGGTTGCAAAATGGTAAGCCATGCCTTTATTAGATTGTTTAAGATCCAATTATGCCACTAAAATTTCTCTTTTCAATGGTAAGTTCTACATTAGTCTATGCCAACAAATTATATACTTCAAATTATGTGTCTTTCTAAAACATCAAGACATGTTTAGAATGGTTGCATCCTAAAGATATCAGGTTTACTCGTTAACAAGTACAAAAATGTTGAAGTAACTCTCTACAATACCTTAAGTTTCAAAAAATAAGTAGTAGGATTTGCACGTGCATTATTTGTGCATTATGAAATCACAATTAGCTCTTTACAAGCATAAACTAAATGAATGGATTCTTGTTCTTTCCAGTTGTCACATGTTTGAATACTTGTCCAACTAATGTTGAACTTATTAAGTACACTCATGCTTTTCAAATTTAATGTCAATTCAAAAATATCAAAAGAATTTTGAAAAAAAATAGAATATGGTCATCAAAAGTATGGAAATTTATTAATAAAGTTTAAATTTAGATAAATTCATATTCAAAGGAATTGGTAACTATTCAATAATTATAAAAAATGGTGGGATGTGTGTCAACTTATTATAAAATCCCAAATAAACCGGTAATACAAAAGGTAAAATACAGAAAACCTCCTCGTGGTTTCGCCAAAAATCAATCGGACACCTTATGATTTTGAAATGTCCATATAATCCTCTTAAACTTTAAACAATATGGAATTTCACTTGTAACCTATATGTGACCTACAAGTGATGTATTATTATTATTATTATTATTATTTAATTTTTTTCTTTTTATATTTGGTGCTTAAATTCCTTTGCCTAAACTATCTTGGATGCTTTTACAAATTTTAAAATTTTTGAGATACTTATAAAATTTTTAGAAAGTATTCATCCCCCATCTTCTTTTTCCTCCCCCCTCCTCCACCAGCTGCCACCATTACCCACCACCACCGTCTTCTCATATCTCTCTCTCTCTCCACTTCCCTTTCCCTCCTCCTCTTTCCCTTTCCCTCCCTCGTCCTCTCTCCTCTTCTCTCCACTACAAGAAATTGGCCTTTTGTGACAACATTCTCTGTGACAACAGAGAAACTTGTCACAATTGAAAACTTTAGTGACGAGTTTTAATGTCGTCATAGTTGATGTGGGTTCACCCGCAACAGTGACAACATGGGATAAGTCGTCACAATATGGATGGGCGCGCAACTAGCCAGTGTGGCGGGAGATCACCATTGTGACGACTGGAAAATAGGTTGTCATTGAAATTGGTCCTACAGTGATAACTTAAAATATCGTCACAATATAGTTGTCAGTTCTAAATTAGTGACAACAACTAGTCGTCACTGTCCAAAGTGTTTATTCCCAACTTACTTTCACTAATTCTACTATGTCACCCTAATTTTTTCAATATGGCATATATGTTGTAAATAAATTTTATTAATTCTACTATGACACCCTAATTTTTACATTTTAACCCCACATACCACTTTAATTTTTTCAATATGGCCCATATGTTGTAAATAAATTTTATTAATTCTACTATATGACACCCTAACTATTACATTTTAGCCCCATATGCCACCCTAATTTTTTCTATATGGCCCATATGCTGTAAATAAATTTAATTAATTATGTTATGACAACCGAACTTTTATATTTTAGCCCCGTATGTGGTAAACTAATCTCATTAACTCTACCATGACACCTTATCTTTTGCAATTTAGCCTCGTACGTGATAAACCAATTTTATTAATTCTATTATGGCACCCTATGCTTTACACTTTATTTTGTGTTTATCATTGGCAAAATAAGGAAGGTATTGTAAAAAAAATGTATACCTATTTTTTAATTATTCCAAATTTAGCTAATACCTTGTTATAAAGTTAAAAATATCATGAATTCATTATTTAGTTCTCTTGACAACATATGGAAAATTACTGATTAACATAGTGTGAAAATAATGGCAAAGAATAATAAAATTTAATATGAAATTAAGTAAAAATCTTGACAATTGCATGACTGGCGTTTGTTATGTATTACAATTTACAATAATCAAATTTTTTATGGTGTATGAATCAGTACTTGTATCAAATAGATTTAGTGTTTCATGCATGTATTAGTAAACCATTTTGGTTATTTGATCAACTAAACAGATTGTTTGGTCTTGTCAAACCACAATTCGTGCATAATTGAAAAATTATTAAATTGATACCAAAAATATTTACATTAAAAGGTCTTTTTTTGAATCATAAATATATTTTTAATAAGCCTTTTAGTTTTTGAACATTATTTTTTGTAGAGATCCTAAAAAACCTATGTTAGAAAAAAAGAAAAAAATCAAAAAATACTAAATTTTCATATTCCAAAGTTTTAATATAACTTGTGAAATGAAAAAGCTCAACATAATAAACAATGTTAATTACACAAAGATTGGGAAAAGAAAAAGAGATAGAAGGCGTTACTTTTATTAAAAAAGGTTCAACAATTTAGAGACAAGGCGTATTTTTTAGTGTGCAATAGTGGAAGCGGGAAGCTGAAAATTGAAAGAGTAGAGGCGGGGTTCTAAAAGAAGCAGAAACGACGTCATTTAAAGTTGATTTGGAAGAAAAACACTCAACACTTGGCCAAATTTCAGACAAAACTCATTTCCCTCTTTCTTTGCCTCGGACACCATCTTCCCAACTCCCTTTTCCCTCTCCAAAAGCCGCTTCCTCTAAAGCCCTTTTCCACACTGCTTCCTTCTCCTCCTCCTTACTATCATCATCATCATCATCGCCCAATTCCAACTCCTGCAGTTTCGTTTATTAACCCCCAAAATCACCACTCCATTATTTTCTCAAACGCCCACATTCCCCACCACCCCTCAACAACCCCATTTGGCTTTTCCCATTCCCTCAATTCTTCACTGTTTCTCCTCAACTCATTCTTCTCCACCTCAACCTTCTTCCGCATTTTCTCTGACCAAAAAGCTAAATCTTTCCACTGGAATTACGCTCTTGATGGAATTCACCCTAGAGAAAATGGGGTCATCGGGATAAAGGGCCAATCTTTGCTGCAGTTTTGTTGGGATGGCTTGGGTCGAATCCGAAGCATCTGAGGAGGTATGGTTCCATTCTTGAGAATTTGCAAAGTAGGCCAGATTTATTGGAGAAAATCAAGGGAATTATTGTTGATTCAGGAGGTGACGCTAATATAGATCCCAAGGTCTGGGCTGCTGGATTTACTGCAGCCCTGCTAAAGAAATACAATTCATCATCTTATCCATCAGTTGTAGCTGTAGGAAGAAATCAATTGGAAAGTGGAGTTGATACCTCAAAGTTGCGAGAAAAGGAGCCCCTGTCCGTTAAAACCTTACTTTTGTCAGCATTTGAGAAGCTCTTCTCTTATCTCCTAAACTTGAACGACGTCAAACAGCAGTTGACAAAGATAATCTCTGTCCTTTCAAAAAACCGGCCTTCTTGCCCACATCTTTATCTGTATAGTACAGCTAATAAGGTCATTCCATTCTCATCAGTTGAGTCATTTGTTGAAGAACAGAAGAGAAGTGGGAAAAATGTGTGGGCATTCAACTTTGGTGCATCACCTCATGTTGACCATTATCGGACTTTTCCCAGTGTATATACATCAGAGCTTGAGAGGTTTTTGAACGAGTGTCTGGTCATAGTGAAGAAGTTATAAAAGTTTTGCAATTTTAGATGATTTAGGTTGAAATGCTGCACAAGTTATTGTTTGCCCTGTGCAGCTGAATTCAGTTTCAAGCAATGGAGATTCCTAACAAGAGGTAATTTTGGCCTAATGTTACTCAAAACTGCAAACTCTTGTTTATGAATATTTCCATTGAGATATGGTATTTCATTTTTGTCCAATGGTAGCTGTTGGTACTCTTGGTTCTGTAATTTAGCAATGAGGCACGTATCATTCTCAATAAACTTTCCCATCATCTTTGTTAAAGAAAAAAAAGAGCTACCAAGCTGATAGGGCAGCTTTAGTAGAGTAGTAGATAGTAAATATCCCTAAATTGAGCCAGTACCATGAATTTTGGGGAAAAGCCAGAATTTGAAGACTGAATCAGAAGGAAAACAAGACCTAAGGTTGTCACGGCATAATTTGAGGTAAATGATCTCAATATTTTCCATTTATTTTCGAACATTTCTTTCTAATGGCTGTTTGTTAATGTGTCTTCTGCCCATTATGTGTAGGCTTATCACAGTCTGTGCTTGGATTTGAGTTTAGTGTTGGGTGCTGTAAATATCTGTTGATTGTGTAATGAAGGGATTTTCTGAAGAGTTTTTATTCTGTAATTTTAGATTTGATATTGGTTGGTTCCTGTTTAAAAGGAAAATGAAGAACCTGTTTCTTGACTTGATATTTCTATTCCTATAATGAGTTGGACAACAGTAGATTGAGGCCAATTTTTCTGTTGAACATTTGAACCGACTGATTTAATTCAAGGACTTCTTCCCCATTGCCCCCACTATAATGGTGGGTAGTGATAAGAGAAAGAGTTTTTCATAAGAGGACGTATGCAATAGACGTTTCTGATGATCATTACAGTTTATGTCTTCGGAAATAGGCAAAGGATGCAGTATATTTATCCAAAATAGTGAATTTATCCAAAAAACAGAATGAATTTGTTTGATCAGGCACATGTGTACTATGAAACTTCAAACGATTGTGTAGCCTTTCTTGCTAACTATGATAGGAAAGTAGATGCCAACGTCACATTCAAGGGAATTCATATTTCCTTCCTGCTTGGTCTGTGAGCATTCTTGCAGACTGCAAAAACGTTGTTTTCAACACAGCAAAGGTAACTTGTAGAACACTTGCATTAAGTTAGTTATATGCAGGATAGACACAGCGAAGGGCCAAGTTTTAAATCACAGCCCCGCTTAAGTTTAGAAATTTTTGCAACTCTTTCAAGATTTACTTATTTTGAATAGAGATTGTCCTAGTGCTGTATCTTCTTCTCGTCCACTCTGCCAAAGAGAGAAAATCTGTTTAGCTATGATGACGGCCTGCTTGTGAATGAATGGAGCTTCTTTTCAGTTTTAGAATTTCTTGTCAACAACTACTGCTGACTATTCTGCCAAGCAAACAGAGTTCTCTAGTTGGTTTTGATGTGCTTTATATAGGATTGCACTTAACCTGTAAAGAGTCCATATATTGTTCTACTAATTTAGATAAAAGCATTTAATGCCAAAGATAAAGTAAAAACATGGTACCGACAGAAGCTTTATGGTACTGAATCATTAATGAGGTTATTGTTCTTTAACAAGTCAACCACAAGAATATAGTTAAACTACTGGGTTATTGCTTAGAGACAGAAGTTCCTCTATTGGTCTATGAATTTATCCCTAATGGCACCCTCTCCAACCTCATTCATAATTAGATAGATGATTCATTCTCCTTCACTTGGAACTTTAGACTAAGAATAGCAAGTGAAGTAGCAGGAGCATTGGCATATTTACACTTGGCAGCCGCAATTCCCATCTATCATAGAGACATCGAGTCCAACAATATACATTTGGATGGGAAGCACATAGCCAAAGTGTCAGATTTTGGAACTTCAAGGTCCATTGAAGCTGATAAAACTCATGCAACTACACTTGTTAGAGGTACTTTTGGCTACTTGGTGATAGCACTAGGTTGGCTCCAGCTGCCTTTCCACTATTATGGGATACAATTTAACTTCGAAACCAAAAAATGTAATGGAGTTTTTGTTTTGACATCTGTTATATTAGTCTTGTTACCCTCATTCTCTCTCCTCTTTCTTTTTCGTTTTCTTTTTCTTATAATTTATATTGTAAAAGCAAAATGGATTAACGGCCCACTCATAAGCTTAGTTGAGCACAGTATATACGACAATGTCTCATCAAGAAGAAAGAATCTTATGAAAATGAAATAACTGATAAGTGACTAATTTACGTAATAATTGTATGACATTTTATATTATTTTTAGTCACTTTGGTTATATTATTGGAAGAATATGAATCATTTTGGCTATAATTGGTGAAAAATGCTTTTAAGTGATTAAATGAGGTTTTTATCACTTTTTACTTGGATTTTGTGTATTTTGACAGTTTTGACACATTTTCGTATTTCGGCTATAACTTGAGTTACAATGATCGGATTGGGATGATTCTTGAACCCATTTGAAGATAAGAGATAGATCTACAACTTTGGTGAAGACATCTAAATCCAGTTTGAAGGTTTTCCAGGTCAAAATGCCGAATTACAATAGCAAATTTCTACTGGTCGAAACTGGAACAGGGCAATGAGCAGGCAAGGGTATTTCAGTCATATCTCAGCCTACACAGATCCAAATGAGGTGATTCTTGATGCATTAGAAATATAACTCAAAAGGCTACAACTTTCGTGTTTTAGACATGAGCTGGTTCAGCCTCTAACATCAAGAAAAGATTGGTTGAAGTTGGGCCAAAAACAGAGCAAGTGATCCACACTCGGATCCACTATTCATCCGAACCCTCGGTTGTTTCTGGGTTAGTGGATCCGAGCTCAGATCCATACGGATCCGAGGCACTGTAGCAGCTCGGATCAGCTCAGCTGGTCAGAAAAGGCTGCTTTATACGCGTAAAACTCAATTTCACCTCCACCAACTCACATTGGATGCTAGACATGTGAGAAACATTCCCAGCTGTAAAAGGGAGATGTAATCCTCATTTCTTGACCACCTTTCATCATTAAATAGCCAAATGCATTGCAAAAATAGGAGATGGGGAGTTCATAGGAGAAAAATAGAGAGAGACATACGGGAGAAGCTGGAAGCTGCAGAAATGTAGCTCTTTCATCTCTCTAGTGTTAGTTTAGCTTAGTATAGAGCAGTGTAGCTTTCCATTCTTGTTTATTATCTAGATTAGGATGAAGATGGAGGATGAAGAAGGCAAGGAAGAAAGCTCATGTGACAAGGGTTGTATTCCTTCCAAACTCTTTATCTTTTGTATTTGATTCCAAGTTTAGTTAATATACAAGTTCTGGATTTTGTGTTCATTATGTGTTTCTAAAGTTTATACCTTGGGTTTGGTTGAACTTTCTATAATTGTTAGTGTTTATTATTTGGTTATTTGACTGCTATGATTTGAGCAAGTTATTTAGCACTTTAGCTCTTGAAATCATGATTAATCTGGTACCATTAATTGTGATTATCTAAGGTGTTGTTTCTGCAATGAAAATTGAGATTTAACACTAGTTCAAGAAGTGCTAAACATAGGGAGTACACTCACGAAAGTAGAGGTGCACTTATGTGGTTTTTAGTGATTCATTTCATGTAATTTCATTGAAGAAATGAACTTGTAGCTAATTTCATAACCATGAAAATAGGTATAGATTAGTTATGAGTATAATTGATTCACTACGAAAGTAGGATTCAAATGCATAAGGAAATTACACCATAATTAGCCTAGATGTAGTATTCAATGATCCAAATATAGCACTTGCATGAGTAGTTAGGGATACCACAACCCAAGGAGCTTTCATTTGTTATTTTGTATAATTTCAGTAGGTTTAATTTGTTATAATTCATTGATAGTCTAAATAATAGAGAAGCTTTAGTAGTACCGGTAATTGCAATCTTCCTTGTGGGATCGACCCTTAATACCCTATACTCGCTCACGATTCGTATACTTGCGATAAATCGGTGTGGGGTATTTAGGAGTTTATAAATGTAAAACTTGATTAGGATGAGCTTAATTGTATATGTATACTCCGCGCACGTCAATAACATTTTGGAAATGGACAAGATTCTTAAATTTGTTAGTCATAGCACATTTTTTATTTTTCCTTTTTAAGAGCCATGAATGCTATTACTGCTCTACTCAATCTATAAGTATAATTAATACTTTCATGTTCATACTTCATATGCCATTCAAGAATTGAATAGGATTCTCAAACTAAATAATAGACTTGTATATTTCCTTGTTTTCTGCTTCTTTTTTTCTTGTCATGTCTTCATAACAGCACTTAACTGGAATTGCAGAGAGGCTAGCTAAAGCCTAAAAGGTCAGCAATGGGAGAAATTTTTATCCAGATAAGAGTTTTGCTCAAACTCAATATTCTATTAAGGACAATATGGAACTCTATTGATCTAAACAACTACCACAGTTCACTAATTCGAAGAGTTTCTGTCATTATGAAACTGAAGTATACATAAAGGTGGAGAAAATGAAGATGATGGCACAAATATCTTTGTGACAGAACTTATCATGACATAAACTTGACCTGTATAAACCTCAAGTAAAAATTTTCTCTTTACCCATTTTTTCCTCACTCAGTCCTACCACTCCTAGTTAAAAATCTGTCAGTACCATGTTTTTCAGTCCATTTTCCTCACTAAATCGTAGAAGCTTTATGCATGTAGTTTATTCTTTTTCTCAACTTTCTGTGCAACTGATTTTGTTCCTGATGGTAACATATCTAATCCCATTAAATGGGTTGTTACACTTGGTGCATTATGTTTGGTGTTCTATTTTCTGTATATTTGTTCACTAATCAGCTTTTTCATTGGAGCCTCAATTGAAAAATGGTTCTCAGCTTTTTCATTGCCTTTTTTGCAGCTGCTTTACACTGGACTCAATAGACAATTAGGCCTGTTTTTACCTCTGTTCTTCTAATTTTTCATTACTTGTCAGGTAACTTCTTTAAACTATGTTTTAATAGATTTTTTTGACTTATTAGTCTCTTTTAAAGGATGCAACTGCAACAACACTAACAGATTTGCAGTTGCTGCCACTTAACAGTT